GAAAGAGTATATTGCACATTTAACAAAACGTGAGTTTTAATGGCAGCTATGCACTGATTCCTAGACCCAGTAAAGACTTCATCCAGTGTTGACTGGGTATCTGGCAATTTGGCCAATTATAAGATTTTGGCAGAAATCTTCTAGGCCTCTTTAACTTTACTAAGGGTCTCTTTAGTCCTGTGAGACTCAGATCACTGTCTTTGGAAACCTGCATCCTGCCGTCTTCCTTGTCCTCTTTCTCCTCTTCTTTGATTGCAACACGGCCTCACTGTGCCAGGCCTCACTTGTCAGCAGCTCTCTGTGCCCTGTGGACACAGGCGGCTCAGGCTCCTTCCTCCACTTCCTGAGCTTCTGCTGCTCCTACACAGTTTGAATGTTAACGTTGCCTCAGTCTGAGTTTCCACGTGTTTTATCTCTTAAGGACTCGATGAGGTAGGTATTGCCCGCATTTTACAGTTGTAGAAACTCAAGTCCAGGAGGTCAAGGCAACCCGCTCAAAGTGACACAGACAATGCAGAACCTCAGCAGAGTTTGGGTTCCCCAGAAGTGGACAAGGACTTGGAGGCAAGTCGTTTGTTTTGGAGATGATTCCAAGAAGCATGAGTGAGGACATAGGGAAAGGAAGCCTGGAAGGAGAGAAGCCACTGAGGGAGGGGGCTTTGAGGAGTGGCCCCTGCTATGGGTGAGCAGGCTCCACCTCGCTGGAAAACAGCCTCCCACCTGACCTGACTCTGTCAGCGCAGGTAGAGAATTGCCCGGCATTAGTGCTGCCCCACTGCCCCTTGTGCCAGTTTTTGGGACAGGAACCTCTGGTGGTGCCAGACACGCCCTCAGGCAGGGGGTCTCAAGGGATCCTGGCTGGAGACCAGCTCCCCAGCTGCAGGTGAATCAGATGGGCCAAGGGGATATGAGCGCAGCATCAGCAGCGTCACCGCCGCAGGTTTCCCAAACCTAAAGCCAGGCCCCTTTGCACCACTCTGCCACAGCACCCTCTTTCCCCAAAGCAGCACGTCACGTCTGCATAGCCCCTTCCAGCTTGCGGCCTGCTCTGCAGGTACACGATCTAATTCAGCCTGCCAGGGACAGGTGGCAGTCACCATGTAACCCCTATTTTGTAAATTAAAGAAACTGAAACTCAGAGAAATGAAGATACCTCCGAAGTCACTCCGCGGGAGAGTGCTGCAGCCGGGGTTCCAGCCCAGCTCTCACTGCCCCTGAAACTCAGCCTGCAGTGAATGCACCCGGGTGCTTTGTACGTAGGAAAGCTACCTCTCTCCTCTGCCGGCCTCAGAGTCTCTGCGCCTGCCACCCACTCCTCCCGGACACTGGGCTGCATGCACGGAGAACAGGACGCAGACCTGGGCACAGGACAGCCTGTGGTCACTCACTCTCCACCTCCTTCATCTGGGTGACGTCCCAGTGGGTAGGGAAGGCTGGAGGAAGCACGCCTGCTGTGGCAGGACAGCTGGGAGGGGGATGTAAGGACTGGGGCAGGTATTGGGGGCCCACCGCAGCCCAGACAGAGCCTACAAACAGTGGCAGTGCCAGGGAGCCAAAGGAGCGCAGAACTGGGAGGCCTGGGCCGATCCTTCAGTGCTGTGTGGCCCTCTGAGTCCAGTTCTGTCACCGGTCCAGTGGGGACACAAACTCCACTCTCCTGGCCCGTTGCACCCAGTGAGACCCAGCTTGCTTATCTGGGCCAGCCTTTGTGCACTGAGGCCACAAGGTTGAAGGGTCAAGGCAAAAGCAAGTTCCCATTTTTTTCTTATTTCCCCCTCAGTATGCTGCCTTTCATTGTTTTCCATATTATTCCAAAAGGAATAGATATTCACTGTAGACAAAAAAAAAAAAAAA